AAGAAACTAACCCGAATATTTGATGTGATAATTGAAAGCTAACAATTGGTTAATCGTCTCACTCCTTTTCCAGTTGAAACTCTGGATACTTCCATGAACAGAACAATTTCCCATCCTGGTGGTCTCCAAATCTGTTGGATGTCATGTCCCTGGATCAGTCTTCAGACTGGCTGAAAATTTTGGAAGCAACCTATACTGTATTAGCCTATCCTCACATTCTGCACTGGCATATTATGCTTCAGTTGTAGCTTATGTTCTTCAATCAGAATGTTCTTTCTATCAGCAGATTGTGTAATGATAGCACAAGTAAAAGAGATTTTTTTTCCAAAACTCTACAAATATTAGGAATTAGCAGAACTGTTCATCTTTACAGAAGTAAACTGAAGAAAAACCAGTTCCAGGAGACTGAGTTGACATACCTAAGTCATATCTATTTAAGAAGGCCAAGTTAATAATCACCTGGATTCTGATATAACACTAAGAAAAATGCATATTTCTTAGATCATGAAAGTTCAGTCCCTACGTTCCACCCATGTCAAAGAACAAACACAAACTCCAGCATGAAACATAATCCAATGGAAATCTTGTTCAACTGCAATCAAAATATATTGTATTACTGATGCCCAGCTGACTAACAAACTAAGAACTCCCAATTTTTTTAATGTTCTTTTTCACTGAACTTCTCTGAATAACACATAGTAAGAATACCATTAGAGGGAAATTAAAAACTCTTTACTTTTTCTGAAAATTTCACTGATGTTTTATCCTTGGTATTCAGTGCAAAATAGAAGCAATAGTATAAACCTTTTTACCTTTTAGAAATAGATTGATTACTTTACAATCAGAACATACGGATTGTATGCCTCCATTTTTCTGCATAAACATTGGGAAAAGCTTGTAGAACTCTTTTTATCTAAGGAGCTCCCCTAACTTTGTATGAAATGTCATATTATTTAATGATAATAATTTTCCTGCAATTTCTTTGAAAATTCCATTTTAAGACAGTCTGTTTCTTTTGAAAAAATGTCTAAATTATGCTTTATGAATTCACCATGTCAAAGAAATAACTGTTTGAAAGTTCCTAGAACAAATGATCCTTTGAACTGAATGAAAAAGTCTTCAGCTTCAAAGAGCACATGTGCTGGCTGACATATCTATTACAATATGCAAAGCCTTCCTTCTCTAAGGATGATTTGTGATTATAACATCTCCCTTCTTTTGATCACAATGCAGGAGTTTACACAGACAGTACATTCAACATACAAAGCTATTATGAAGCCTACAATTTTCTTGGGACTATATAGATGTTACAAAGACAAATTGCTGTCCAGAGGCTTAGTTAAATTGGCATTTTACAGAAGCGGAAGGCAGAGAAAGAAAAAAACCAAGAACTGCAGCAGCAGTAGTTTTGCCAGTGATCTATATAATATTAATTTGGCTTTTTATTTGCCATTATGATTTTCATGGGAGGTAAAGGATCCAGTTTTCCAAAGGATTCCTGCCCTGCAAGTCAACAACATTTGGAGATGTAGGTTCTGTCTAGTAGGAGAATAAAATGGCTTCAATGGAAGAGATGGTGATGGAAGAGAGCCAGGCTATGCCTATCCTTATGGTACAAGCTATTATTATGGCTGCCCTATTCCCTTTATTGGGATTAATTTTTACCCTTCTGGCACGCAAGACTTCAAAGGTCTATGGAGATTCTCAATCATTCAGATCATAGTTGTCCAAAGGTGCTTTTTCCAAAAGGCAACTGAGATTTCTTGTTGTTTTTTTTCTTTGAAAATGTTTTGCTTCTCATTCAGGAAGCTTCTTCAGTACTGACCTGATGAGAATCAAAACATTTTAAAAGAAAAAAAAACAAGAAAATCCATTTGACTTTTGGAAAAAGCACCTTTGGGACTTTGAGTTCAAACGTTCCTTAAATTCAGAAAAAGTACTTCAGAGACAAGAAAAAAGTCTAAGATATGGTAAATAAAATGATAATAGCATATTGATCTCTAGCTAAATATAACTGAACTTAGATGCTTGTATGGATAGGTACAAAGTTACCAGTATTAATGCTATGGAGAGGAAATGGACAATTTCTTCTCCATTTTAGTGTTAAGTTATAAAATAGATAATGACATCAGGTCAGCACTAAGTTTAGGGAAAATGAAAATAATAAACGCTATTTTACTACTACCAAATGCATCTAGTATGATTCTTTAGCTTTTATGTCTTTTAAAAAGTGTAAAAAAAGATAATACTTTGTATAATAGTTCAATAGGACTGGGAGTTATGAGGTGCACTTTTTCCTCTGGGGTTAATTTCCAGTAGTATTGGGGGGAAATGAAGAAACAGAACAAAGGACTGCATTGGCCTTAATCCAGTAAAACATACGTAGATTAAGTTATTTTTTTAAAAATTTTCATAAAGCCTACTTATCCTTATATTCAAAGTATTATTCTAGCACTACTAATGTTGTTGGTAAATCCTTATGGTACTGTTAGTTACTACAGTGCATGCCTATGCTGCTGCCAGTTTTCATTACACAAGAGCTTTGTAAACATGTAGTAATAATGGGAGGGTTTGGGATCCATAGTCTAGTTATATATTTCCAAAAACAATTCAATTGAATAATGAATCCAACAGACTTAATTTTGAAAGGCCATGAAGACCATTAAACTCTAAGTGTCTTGAATCACTGAGATTCTGTTTGGATAGTACTACTAAAATTAATTTATTTTCAGGAATAAAAAATGAATGTATTTCAATATCCAATTGAAGTTGGTTTCTACAGTGGACATGATTTTATACCGAATTGAACAAGACCAAAGACAAATATAAATAATATACAATATTTTAAAAGCAATAGCAGAACATCTTGAAAGTAGAATATTTTTATTTACAAATAATCTTTGCCCCCAAAACAACCTTATGGAAGCATTGTCATCAATATTAATAAAAGAGAACTGAAAACAATATTTTCCTTCTACTAATTAATTAAACTGTTCCTTTTCACAGGAAATTTTGTAATTTCAGGTGAAATAAATGTGAATAAATGCAATTTTTTTAAAAAGTTTTTTGCTATTTGTAGTAGAAGAAGGAAGGGGGAAATATATTTCTGTGTATATAGAAATATATTTCTACAGAGAAAATTATTGGTATTGATGTTAGAAATAGAAATAGCACTTAGACTTATATGCCACTTCATAGTACAGCACTCTCTAAGCAGTTTACAGAGTCAGCATATTGCCTAGAACAATCTGGGACTTCATTTTACCAACCTTGGAGGTATGGGAGACTGAGTCAACCTTGAGCCAGTCAGGATCAAACTCCTGGCAGTGGGTAGAGTCAACCTGCAATATTGCATTCTAACCACTGCACCATCATGGCTCATTACAAAATGGAGTATCTTATTTTAAATTTTGTCAATCCTAGTTTTTGTGAAGCATGGCTTCTAGCAAATATATAATGCAGATACACATACACAAATATGTGAGAAATATCCTCACATTTATTAGGGAAAGAGAAACCTCCAAAAATAGTTTAAAGCATAACTGACTGAGTTTATGCAATAAGCTACCAATAACATGGAAGTTCAACCTAACAACTGTGGGCTGTACAAACACATATTTTTTGCACTATACAACACTCCAGATTATAAGACGCACCTAGCTTTTGGGGAGAAAACAAAAATCTGCTCCCAGCCCCAGCACATGGCTCGTCAGCACTCTGCTCTGTTGTGCCCACCACCAGTCAGCTGAATGACAGATGGATCCCGGCCTCCCATAGCCCCTTTAATTAGCGGGCTGGCCAACCAGAAATGGCACTATTGCTTCCTCCTCTATGTCTGCTGCCTCTGCCAGGGAATACTGGAACCCTTGCCAGCATTCCACAACTATTGCCATTGCCACCGCCTATCACCGCCTATCACCGCCACCGCCATTCACCTCTGTGGCTGGATTGGCCTCCCGGAATACAGACACTCAGCTCTTCCAGGTGGCGGGGATCGGCAGCAATGGGTGGCGGTGGCAATAGGCAGTGGCGATCCCCACCATCTGGAACAGCTGATTGGCAGTATTCGGGAAGGCTGATCCAACTGCCAATAGGTGGCAGCGAGCAGTTGCAGCGGGCGGCAGCAAGTGGCAGTGATAGGTGGCCACAATAAGCAGTGGTGGCAAGAAGCAGCAGCAGCAACAGGCATCGGTGATAGGTAATATTCACTCCATGAGACGCACAGACATTTCCACCCACTTTTTGGTAAGGGAAAGTACATCTTATAGTGCAAAAAATATGGTACTTCCTCCCCAAATCAATCACTATTGAAGCCTCAATATTCATTGATGTGTTGCATCTTTTATCTAAGAAGCCCAGAATCATACACAACATTCCCCAACTCATACAATATACACATTAAGCACAAATGTCTTCCAGATGTGTTGGCTGACAACTCTCATAATTCCTGGCCAAATGGTGGCTATGCTGTATGGGAATTCTAAAGATATAAATCTTAAACATCTAAAGGGAACTAGCTGCGAAAGACTGGTATACTGTATACTGGCCAGTATTTTGTATCAGAATCTCCATACTGCGTGGTGTACATTTTGCATTTTTCTATTGCATCTTTGAATCCTAGAGTTGGTAACCAGATAGTATTGTCTTAAGCAGAAAACAAAGCAAAATCTACAATGTCTCACCATCCAGTAAAGTTTTGTTTTTCTACCTTAATAGAAGAATTAAGGTTAAATGAGTACAACATTGCAACTGGCAATCACAACATTTTTCGTTAGTCAACTATGCCCCTAACATAGAAGCAGTGAAAATATAAACTTCCTAAATATGCATAATTCTACTCCACCGAGGCACATTTCAGGCACAATACCTTAAATGATCTTGATCTCCCAGAAATGCACAAGCAGCCTTCAGACCAAATTAGGGTCTGCTATGTTTAGTCTTCAAACCACCAAAGATCAATTCAAAGAATCAGAATCCATTCAATTTTGTTTTGGTCCTACCTTGGTTGAGATAAGTTAGAGTCTCTTCATGAAGCTTTATAGCAGGAGATGTCGCTGCACAGAGCACATATTGAAACGGAGGGAGTTTTGCATCATTCTCAGGGGAAAGTTGAGGCTCTTCTTGTTTAAAGAATGGCAGTGCAAGCACCTCACTGAAAATATAAAATAAAAATTTACTTAGCAATTGGTTGCCTTTTTTTACTGTACAACTACAATGGAGTTAAAGTCAGAATCGTCTGAACCCATGAGCATTTTTTCTGTGAACACATTCATTTAATATGTTAACCTGTCAAAAAAAACCTAATGATATCAATTTCAATCCATTTCAATACGGCCACATTTATATGATGAAAACTGGCACAATAAACCCAATGATACACAAAGAAAAGGATTTAGAAATATATGCTGTGATGGTACTGTTTTTCAGGTAATCTTATTTAATGCAGTATCATATATTCTGTCATATTCATAGATGCAGACTGAATTATTTTTTAAAGAGTCATGTTAGTCTCTAGGAGCAGGAGCAGCAGGGAGCTATGTAGCATATTAAAGTTTAAGAAGTTTGCTATTCCTCAGGCTTTTATGGACTCTAATCCATTTCATTGGATGTATGGAATCTAAGTGTTCAAAAAAATATGGGGAAAAACAGAAAGATAATGTATGTACACAGACTCTTACTACTGATGTGGAGAAAGGGTCGCAAAGTGTTTTTTTCAAAAGGCAACTGGACCTTGTTTTTCGCTTCTCATCCAAGAAGTTTCTTCAGCTTTTCTTCGGATGAAGAAGCTTCTTGGATAAAAAGCAAAACATCTTCAAGGAAAAACAAAGTCCAGTTGCCTTTTGAAAAAAGCACTTTGGGCACAACTATGACCTGGATGACTGAAAATCTCTGCAGATAAAAGGTAACAATACGAAAGGAAATATGAAATACATAATTGCTTTTTTTGCCATCAATAAAACACCATTGAAATATTCTACAAGGAAGAAGAGAATTAAAGGATTCAAACCAGACTTCACTTTAAAGTTATCTTTATGATAAAGATATAGGGACACGATGGCTCACGCTGAGCTTGTCGATCAGAAAGGTTGGCAATTCGGCGGTTCGAATCCCTAGCACCATGTAACAGAGTGAGCTCCCGTTACTTGTCCCAGCTTCTGCCAACCTAGCAGTTCAAAAGCACGTAAAAAATGCAAGAAGAAAAATAAGGACCACTTTAGTAGGAAGGTAACAGCGTTCCTTGCACCTTCGGCGTTTAGTCATGCCAGCCATATGACCACGGAGATGTCTTTGGACAGTGCTGGCTCTTCGGCTTTGAAACAGAGATGAGCACCGCACCCTAGAGTCGGGAACGACTAGAACATATGTGCGAGGGGAACCTTTACCTTTACCTTATGATAAAGATACACAGCTCATGTTAGAAAATAGTTCAATAATAATAATAATAATAATAATAATAATAATAATAATAATAATAATAATAATAATAATAATAATAATAGATAAAGATAAAGTGGACAGTGAACAAACTTGGTTATGGTTAAAAACAGGTACATTAAAGAAAGAAACAGAGTCACTAATCCTGGCTGCGCAAGAACAAGCTATCCGCACAAATGCCATTAAGGCCAAAATCGAAAAATNGGAAGGGAAGGGAAGGGAAGGGAAGGGAATAGAATAGAATAGAATAGAATAGAATAGAATAGAATAGAATAGAATAGAATAGAATTGGAAGGGACCTTGAAGGTCTTCTAGTCCAACCCCCTCCTTAGGTAGGAAACCCTACACCACAATCATCGTTAATTGAGGCGTCGCTAAACAAAGACTACCTGTAATTATAGTCCATCTTTTCTAACTGTGGTTTCCCACAATCTGAGCCAACCAAAAGTAAAACCACCTGCTATTAAGCCATTTCCAAACCAAAGTACAAATGGATATTGTATCACAGGTTCACAAGAGAATGGCTTTATGTAGAATGGGTGGGGAAAAGGCACAAGGAACTGATTATTGACTGTAGTATAAATAGAACTTGCATTGGATACACTGCAATCACTAGATGTCTTTTGTAATGGGTCAAAGTCTTGCCACAATAAATCAGCTTTATCTGTGCCTTTGTGCCCTGGGAAATATATTCTTGCAATTTTTTATCTTGTCAGCTGAGAAAGGCCTGACAGCAGTTCAAGGCAAAGAGGTTTGTTTATAGGGTTCTACTAAGCAGGCAATAATACACATATATTCGGTGTGGTTCCACAATAAAAATAAAAAGTGGAAAGGTTCACAATGTTCCTGAATCGTATTATATGCAGAAATTCCACCTGTCATCAAAAGAATTTTTATGAGTTCTCTGCATCAAGTAACACCATTTTTGCCTGCAATTAAAAACCTCGTAAATAAAACAGCAGTACATTCGGGCACTTAGGGCAAAAGAGCTGCCTACTATCAATGTAAAATAAAAATAAAACGTTTGAAGGTGATATACTGACAGCAACAAAAAAAATATTTATTTCTTGTTTGGCAAATTCACTGCCAATATGACAGAACTTTAAGTTCCTTCATAAACCTTGAATTATGGTATTGGGGGGGGGTTAATGAATGAGTGTCCAATCTTATTCCAATTTCCAAGGCTCAGAGGAAAGTTAATATCTGTTTTGCTAATGAGATGTAGAAAGGAAGAAAAGGATATTTATTATTTTTTGCTCCTCCAGGATAAAATTTTCCCCCCAAACAACTCCTTTAAAATAATACGAATTAGAAATAAAAGCACTGAGACACGGATTTGTCTGAATTGTAATATGCTGAACCAACTACAAACAAGGCGAAACAAAAAAGAAAAAGACATGTTTTTCCATTTATGATTTGTTTGTTGACTTTGATCTTATAGTAAATAGACTATTTGGAGAGCTTAGACAGACCCTAAAATGCTAGAAAAACCACGTCATGTACATGTGAAGCTCAAAAAATTAGAATATTGTGCAAAAGTTCATTTATTTCAGTAATGCAACTTAAAAGGTGAAACNGACGTCCTAGGCCCCTGGGTGGGGCCCGACTAGTAACCAATGCCAAATCCGGCGAAACAACTGGCCGCTGTGATACAATTGTACAATAATAATAATGGACTTGGTAAATAGGAGACAGATTTCCCCAAATATACTTCAATCTATGCAATTGTTCTTGATAAGACAAGACACTCCAATATACTCCAATAATTCAGCACTGCAACCTCTTCATACCTAATCTCTCCCACCAAGAACAAGAAAACATCTTCTCTCAGTCTATCCTCCCAGAAACTACCATTCCTAGAAACTATTCCCAGTCTCAAAAGTGATTCAGACACACAAACAAACAAACACACGTTATAAAAACAAACAAACTAGGTACAAAGTCATGTGTGCATGTTTAATAGATCCAGGGATAAATCACTGGATCAGGTTAATGGTACCTGATAATATCTATATGCATAACCTATAGCTTGGTAACTGCAGAAGAAATCTATTAACTGTTCACTCTCTGGTGTACTCCAGAAAAGTTAGAACTAAAGTCTTGTTCAACTTCTGGTGACTTCCCTGACTATCCATGTATGTTTTTTCAATAGTAGTAAGGAAATAGTTGCCATTGCTTTCTTCCAAGGAGTTTTTTCACTCTATGTTTAACTGCAGGTATTTCCCAGTGTCTGCCATCCAAATATGAATCATATTTGCCCAGACTTAAGCTTTTCTGAGATAAAGTAAGGTATACCAGGTGTGCCTCCAGGTGACATAAATTGGGATTATATCTCCAAATTTCCAGTCATGTGGCTTTTAAAGACCACTCTTCTTGATTATAGATAAGTTTATGTTTAGTATTTTCAACACAAGTTGGGCCACATTCTAAAACTGTTTAACTAGTCATAAGATTAGGAACATATATGCCAAAAGTTAAATAGACCGAGTGTATATAATGGAAATTCCAGTTGGAAACCATGAGGTTTCAGGAAACTAATATTTTATAGTATTAAAATGAATTATGCTGCTTCTGTAGATTGTTGCAGTCTATAAAATGAATGAACAAAGCATAAATTGTGCCTTTTTCTAAGCAGAAGCCATTAAAATACTTACTTATTTTCTAATGAATCAAATTCATTTAACTTAATGGGCTTAATTTTTGCTTTTGATTCTAAATATTCAATATTAGGTCAACTGTCTTCCATAAATATTTGTGTGCATGTGAAAAAACCCTACATTTTCTAGATGCCACTACATCTACAATTATCAATAAACATCAACTGAAAATTAGGACAGGAAGGTGTTTCTCTTGTGCCTATACAGATTAATAATTCTCTCTTTCACCAGCAGGAAGATTATCTGAAAATTAGTTGAATCCATCACATGTTTGATAATAAACATGATAAAAGTTCTTAACTGAAAGAGAACGTGATTTCATTTTATGGAGAACTAAAGCTAAAAAGTATGTGAGCTGCAAAGTTAAACATGAAAATTTAGATAGCTTTGCTGGTAACTGACACTATCTTGACAATATTATTTATTTTATAGTTTGCTGAAATAATTGTTTTAAATCAGCAAAATAATACATTTTAAATCCAATATAGAATTTAGGTTAGCAAGAATCTAAAATATATTGTGTTCTTTTCTTTTTCAGGTCTACTGTGTAAAGTCTTTACACTGTCTCAAAGTAGAGAGCTACCATAACGATAACTGGTGCCATAATGATAAATGTACCATAACGTATAAAAGGACTTAATAAACTTGTAAAAAGAGTGGATGTTATGACCACACAACCTCCTTCTTTTGCTAAAGCAAAAAACCAGAGTGAAGTAGTGGCTGAATGAGTATCCACCAATCTGGTGCCATTGCAGTATCCCCATGGTCATCATCTGATCAAAATTCAGATTTGACAACTGGCTTGTATTTATGTCCCAGGGTCATGTGACTCCCATTTGTAGCCTTCCCAGCTGGTTTCTGACATGCAAAGTCAAAGGGGAAAGCCAGATTCACTTAATAACTGAATGATTCACTTAATGACTATGGCAAAAGAGGTCATAAAATGGGGCACAACTCACTTAACAACTGTGTTGCTTAACCTTAATTGGGCTCAATTATGGTCATAAGCCAAGGACTACCTGTACTACATTGTTACAAGAAAATCTGCACCCACTTCAGA